AAAATTACCACGTTACGCTATACTTTTTTTTTACCAAGAAGTATAGCTTATTACAAACCTCGTGTAACATTTTAAATCATTTATCCTCGTCCAAAACAATTTTGTCCAAATAAAACTTAAAATAAAAAAGAGCTGATACTGGGGACGAGTGCAGCCACTGTTGTAGGTTGTAGGTGGGAAGTTGGGAAGGTAGGATACATAAGGTTATTTCATTCATATCTGTAAGTAACGATAAACCATTGCTTAACGAAAGACGATTCCGAGCGGAGTTCGGTAATACATAATTTGAAGTACCGTAATTTTTTTTTACGATTTTCGTTTAAATTTGATTTCAAAATGCTTATTAAAAAAAAAAAAAGGCATCCAATGATTTTGGAAAATTTACCACGTTTAGGAAATTTTAATTTAAGTATCACTACCAAGTTTCAAGTCTCTACGTGTATCTATAACCGAATTATAGCAAACAAACTACCAACAATTTAAAATCCTTAAAAGCTCACACGTGGCTCAAAAGTTTTAGCGATGATACCGTAAGAAAGGCAACAAAAAAAAAGTGTCTTGTGATTTTTCGATTAAATCATTTTTTCTGATAGAAAACGTCGTCCGTGTTTTTATAAAATAATGAAATCGTGATATTGTACGTTTTCTCACGTTTTTTTTCCATTTAAGTGCTTTTTTTAAAAAAATGATCTCGAAAATCAAAAAATTATCTTACTAAAATTACCATTTAGACAACTTGAGCTTTCAGAAAAGTTGCTGCACCTAAAAATCGGAGCAAGTTTACTAGGAAAAAACATTTCCACAGACTAAAAAAAAAAAACAGCATTATAAAACCAATAGCTCCCTCGCTACGCTCGGAATCTAAAACTAGAAAATGTCAATTAAGTAGCTCAAAAATCAGCAAAACGACGTCAGGAAAAAGCTACTATAAGTAATTCGTGTACATTTTTGGTCTCTACAATAATTATTTTTACCTGAATTACAACAAAAAAACAAACTCGAATGTAATGAAACCTTTACTTTTTCTCGATTTTCCTAGTCACTTAGAAAACTCAAGGAAAATTAATCTCCCAATGCACCAACTGGACAAAATTTTCTTTCAAAAAATATACTACCTTTGAGATTTGGATTAATATTACTAGTAAAAAAAATAAAATCAGAAATGGTTAAACTGTTAATGCTGTAAAACTTGCTGTTTTTCCTATACGTTTTGTTTCAATTGTTAAGAAAACTGTAAGAAAATCAAAATATGACCTTCTCAATATGCACTAACTAGGTACCTTTAATTTTTTGAGCAGAAAATATACAATTCAAGCTCAGAGCAACATTCCTAGTAGAAAATTTGTTAACAGAAAGAAAAGTATTATTGTGAAATCAATACATTTTTCTGTGCACACAGAATCTAAATACTAAATCAAGAAATCTGTTTGTAAATAACTTTTTTTGTTAGAAATCTTGTTTAGATATTCAAGTATATATTATTTTATCTAAAAGCTAATTTTGTTTTGTCGGTGTATCATGGAGATCATTATTTTCCTTGCATTTTTCTTACTGTAATCGGGAAAAATGTAGGAGAAAAATGGACAAATTTTCTGGCATAGCAATTTTATTATTTTGATTTCAGTTTTATACCGAAACTCATGATCTGATTTTCAAATGTAGCTTTCTTCGGTCATTCTCAATGAAAATTGTGTCTAGTCAGTGCACATCGCACATGGAGATCTTTTTCTTATAACATAGTAGTATTGGTTATTTTCATTTTTTTTTTCCGGACACGATCTACCGAGCCACCATTAACGTGTTGCACAGGTCTCCTCCTCTATTAAAAACTCGTCACAATAAAACACCACTGTTCGCCGGGTCGTCTGACGCACCGGGACGTGACCCACAGCACACATCGTAATAACAATATAATAATATTATTATATTGTATATTATTATTTAGTGGGACAACGGGCGCACAATTCGCGCACGTGATTGTCTATATAATATTATAATAAAAAAGTGTCTAGACGTTTTGAAGTTTCTGGCTATTCATCATCTGCCGCCACAGAGACACCGGTTGAGATGATCGTCAATAGTTCGAAATAAACTTTTTTTGATTTCATTTTTTTTCCTCTCTCGACTTATATTTATCGCGAGTGCAATGCACGCTCAGAACCAGAAAACTGCGAATACAAGACGTACTTATATATACATGTTAAAAATTACACCAGTTATATTTCTTTATCTCACAAGTATCAATAGGTTTCGCTATAGGTATACAATATTATTATATTTTGTAGTATACCAGCATGTATATAAAATATTTTGTTCGTGTTTGTCCACGTCTTGTTGGTTTTCAATTCGTGTACACCGCGTAATGTTAAGTCAAAAAGTACAAATCAAAAAATTCATGTTGAACAGTGTAAAAAAAAAAAAAAAAAAAAAAAAAAAAAAATGGTAAGTTTTTGTAATTTTTAATTTGTATTGTTATTTTTTTAGATTTAGATTTTGTGTGAAGTAAAGAATGTATTGATCGAGGTATTGGTTTTACTATGTGTTTTATTTTATTTTTTTCTGTCCGTTAAGAACTTCAATCAAAAGCACATTGTATAGTAATTTAATTGCTTCATTTTAGATCTAGTTATTGCTATATAGTAGTAGCTATATGTATTTTAATGATATATTGTTTTCAATATCTACCTGTATTTTAGACGATATTTCATTAAATTTATATAAATGCGACTCCACTCCCCCACTACTGTATAATCTAAATCACGCTACATATCATACCTTATATAAACTATTCACAACAAGTGACTAATATCACCTCTCTTTTTTTATTTATTCTCTGATCTTTTTTCCGTGTTTTCTCCATCGTATCTCACTTTTTACAATTTCCAGTTTAATATATAATTGAGACACGACCTTACGGGATAATATACGACCCGAACGGTAATACGACCTTTTGCGTCACCGCTCGTCAAACCGCGTTTGTATTATACAAGGTGTTCTACGAAGATATACCCGTTGTAATATCTTCGGAGATAATATAAAGACAATCAAATTCTAGGTTTTTTTTTTATTACTCACTGTGATAAGGAGTACACATATATATATTGCAATTCAATTTTTCGTAGTTCGGTAAAAAATTAATGATTAATAAGTACCTATAATTATGAAATAGGTTGTAATCGCATTCCCTAATTGATTATTATTACTAAAATTAATTAACTGTACACTTTTCTCTGGGCTTTAAAAAATTATTAAAAGTCACGAATTTAATGAAAATAAAAAAGTCGATACATCAAAATGTTCAGAAAAAAAAACTCTATACAATTATTGCTATATTCAAATTTTTCAAAAAAAATTTTTTAAGCATAAAAGCATAAAAAATTAATTGCAATGTAAATACTTGCAAACCTTATCTCTGAGAGTATAATATATATGAAAAAAACCGTATTTGATTATCTTTATATTCTCCGGATATATATTACAATGGGTACATCTTCGTGGGACACTCCGTATAGGGATTATTATTAACGTCCTCCATCTCTTCTTCTTCTTCTGCTTGCAGGCGTTCTATCGATTTTGCCGGAACTGTATGATGCAACATCGTGCCAGTTATTGTCGGTGGGTATAATTTATTATCTTCTACTATACAGTGAATCTATGCGATTTTCGTACGCGCACTACTCATCTGCGCACATTGCGATCGACTAACGATGCGTGTCGACGGTATAGGTACGTACCTACAATAACAATAATGATCGTCATTAACTGCACAGTCTGTGCCAAGACGACGGCGGCGACCGTGAACGTGCGAAAATCATAGAAAAAAAAAATAAAATAAAATTAACATTATTACGACGGTCGTACATTATAATAATAGCATACAGGTATACACCAATGTGCAGATACCTAGGTAGGTAGGTTCGCGTACCGTGTGAAATACAATTCAGACAACCATTTTTTTCCTCCGTGACTGACGAATCGATTATTCGCTTATAAACGCACGCGAGAGATGATCCGAAAGGAAAAAAAAAACAACGTGTACCACGTATCGTCGTCGACCGAGCGAGAAATAAAACACAAAATTCGATTAACATGGGTAATAGCTGGTACCTACCATTAGTATTAATTTAGTATACGCGTATAATGTTATGCAGGTACTAGCAACGGTCGAATCTACGGGTTTGCGGTACACGGGAATATTAATAAATAGGTACCCTACCTATATATAGGTATATCAGGCGCATAACTGTACTCGAATGATTATCGTTTTAATTTTCATCGTACCAGTTTTTTTTTATTGTACAGATCGATTATCTACGTGCGTTTATTATATTATATTGTCTAGAGGTATCTCCGTGTATATTATGCTAGGTAAGTGCGGGTAATTATTTTGAAATATAATAATTTTGGTGTCCCGAAAAGGCCTTAAGTTCATTCCGTAATATGGTTTTCAATGTTGCAAGTAAATTATACATTTTGAAAACTGCTATAGGTAGCATAATGGCCTTAACGCGAACGACCTTTCTATAAAAGGCCAAAGTAAATTTTTTAACTTAGGCCATTTATACAACTTACGCTTTTTAGGTCAAAAATAAAGGAAGCGAAAATTATAAAAAACGAGATTATATAAAAAAATGTCATATTTTGCTTCAAGTTCTTCTCCCAGCAGGGACCTGATACAATTGTTTCATTTTCATATTGTGCTACCGAACTTTTTATCCATAAAAATACAGTACAAATTATTGTTATTAAATGAAAAGAGGGTATAAAAATATTTCATAAATTAGGACATATATTTTATCATTAACTTATACGTTATAAATTGGAAAAACAAATAAAAAAATTTCAGAAAGATTTCATAAAATAACAGTATAATAATATTATTGAACGCATTTTGAACAAAAATCCAATTACCGATTAAATTCGAATGGTGAATACCTACTACGCATATTCGATTTTTTGTATTGCACTGAATAATATAACGACGTTATTATGATAATAAACATATAAGTTTTCTGTAATCTATAAACTATGGGTTGTCTTGTCATTAAAAAAAAATATTTGTAATGGGCAGTAATAATAACGAAAATAATGTATTTTGTTAGAATTAAAAACATTCGGACCTACGTGTATAAATTGCAAATTAAATAACGTCAAACAATTAATATTTAATAATATACCGTTGGTCCCAGGGAAGAAGTGCTAAAATCAATATTGTATAGTTTTCATTACGAGCTAATTAAATTTTTAAAATACATCGTACACGTTTGCAATTTTAACCAATGAATAAAAGGACACAATTATATAAGGTTGACTTAAGTCCTTCTTCGGGGAAAATGTTTCTCTTATTCTGGGATCAAAGATGTGTATCATAACTATTATATATGTATTTGAACAATAAACGCGAAACACTCTTGTGGAAGAAAAAATAAATGGAGACAGTTTACATCGTGATAACTATTATTAATTATTTGAATAGATTATAAAAATCGAGGAAACGCTCATAATAATCATTTTTTTATAATTATTATGAAAACCGATCAATGTAAGATTATGTGATAATTTTTACTCGGTGCATTGGAGTTCAAATTAAGATTCATCATTTTATCGTAAATGTACAACGCATTGCACGTATACATGCAATGCAAACAAGTCAATTAATCGTGCAGATAAAACTAGTTTTTTAAAATTGTTTTTTTTTTTTTTTTTTGTAATCACACACCCAGCACCCATTCGCTTCTCGGTAAAGCGATAATAAAGGTAAATATTATTACTGGGTACCTACACACACACACACACACACATATATATATATATATATATATGTGTATATGTATCATGATGAAGGAGCGAGAGGAGTTCGTTGACCGTTCAAAAGTTATAAATATTTTATAAAATCAAAATCGACGGTTAGAACAACTATTCCCAGACGATCAACCGTCCCAGTACCGCAGTATACACTGCGCGCATGCATATAATATGTATATAATAAATAATACTATAACGGTTCTTACAATATTATGTATAGGTACTCACTCGACCGGGCGAAATTAAACTTCCGCGGTTACGGGTTCACGTTATTTTTTTATTTTTTTTTTTTATTATTCTAAACTGTAATATCCAGTTTGTCGTCGACTACCGGTTGTGAGGACTTAACCAGTTCGGACGCCGCCAAAGACGAACCCGACGCGATCATCGCACATCGCAATAGCGCAGCGCAGTAGTGTAGTCGCACGGCACGATGATGGTTGCGTTGCGAATTATCACCGTTTGCGTTCTCGCGGTCATCTGCGGTGGAGCCGACGGCGCCCCCGCGGTCACGTACGACCAACGGCAACACGGCGAATTCAACTTGCAAGTGGACATGGACGGCGTGGCCATAGTGCTGTTGCCGGGCAGCGAGTTCGCACAGCGGAGCGCGATTATCGGCGACAAGGTGCATCAGATATTCGGACGCCGCCGTAACGGAGCCGCCGATAACACGTCGAGATCCAAGCACAAGAAACCGGTGACTTGCAGTACGACCACGCCGGTAACCCCCGCACCATCGGAAGTGCCTAGTTACAGTGAGCTGCCGTCGTCGTCGGTTTCCACGACGACCCAGGGCTACGACGACTTAGTGGCGTCATTGGCGCTGTCCACCCAGCAAGGTTTGGACGACCTTAAGCCGGTGTCGGAACCGTTCAACCCGCCGGATTTGTACAACCAGACTGAACTCGTAGCCGCGGTGCAGGCGGACGACCACGATCCTTATTCTGTAACGCCGAGTACACCGGATCTGACCACTCAAAAAGTCGTTTCGTTGGAAACCGAAGATGTCACGGCCGATCCTGCGGCTGTAACAGCAGCAAATGCAGTAAAAACTATCGACGATTTCATAGATAATATAACGTCGACGTTAAATAATTCAGGAATTCCTTTAGAAGATGCAAAAGCTAACGTTCAACCGACCAATAGTGTTTCGAACAATTTTGAAGAAAATCCTATAAGTATATCGTCTGATGTGAAAACCGTCGAAAAAGCGACAAACGACGAGCCTATTCAAACGGGAGATACCGTAGATAAACCTGCAATCGAGAAAACCGCCGTAAAATTAGTAGATAAACCTAAAGAAGCTAATGTTGTTAATATTACGGGCGTAGAACCTAATTTTAAAGCAGAAGAAAAACAGTCTGAGAAAACTTTGGAAAACCCCACTGATGAAAAACCAATGGAAACTGTGGAAAAGTCTGTACAGCGGGATGTAGCGATCGTGAAAATTACCGACACAGAAAGTAAAATAAATGATAATAAACCTAATGAGTTGGTCGCTACGAAAACTCTGGAAAAACCAATATTCGAACCTTTAATGACAGTAAAAAAAACCGAAGATGATAAAACTGCAGCAGCTGTATCATCGACTGATCAGGATTCTAGAAAAAATCCTATAGAGATGATCGCTATGCAAACAATAGAAAACCCGTCTAACGGAAACGCCGTAGAATCATCTGCTGGAATTACAACTAGTACAAAAATAGTAGAGATACAGGAGGATAAAAACGCGCCGAGAAAACCTACAGTAGAGACTATCGTGTCGAGAACGGCTCCAACATTAACTGAAATGGTCGCCGTGAAGACTATGGAGAACCCTGCAACGATAACAACAGTAAAAAGCGTCACTTCCGTTAAAACGGTGATAAAAACCGGAAACACCAAGACTACATCATCACATTCATCGAATGGTTCTACAATTATGCGTAAGGTAGGCGATCGCAGACCGTTGCCTTCAATGACATTAGAAGTCGCACCTCCAAAAGTAGTATAAACACTCGTTTAAAAATTTAACACATAATATTTATTTGTTATAATTTATTGTTTCTGTAAAACTTAATGTTTAACAAGTCTTTATCTGTATGTACAAGAAATTATTTAGAAACTAGAATATTTATATTATTTTCTACAAATAAGTTGTTTACAGAGATATAGATCAATATTCAATTGCAATCAAAAAATGTATTCATATAGTATTTAATATTTATAGTATAGTTAAATAAAAACCATTATTTAGTTCTATAAATAATACAAAATATAAATTTGAATAAATTAAAATGTATTGAAATGCAATATTAATTTCAATAGGTACATACAAGTTTTGTATTATTTAAAATAACTAGTGATAAATTAAATTATAATAATTTAATATTGTAATAATGTAATATTTTTTAGGACATTATTTATTATCTAAAGATATCTGAAATAATTTGTACTAAAAACATCTATTTAGTATGCTTAAGTTATTATTATTTTGTTTTGTTAATTCTTAAAAAATGACTAATCAATATAATATTATAAAATGTGATAATTTATTTAATTTTAATTGGTAATAAGCTTTTTTACACTAAAAATATGTGTGTAATTTTCTGTGATTTTATTTAATTAAAATATTTATTTATATATTATATTATTACCGAATTCAAAGAAAATCAAATTAATTATTAATTATTTGAACAAAACTATTTATATTCTAAATTAAAATAGTTTCTTAATTAGTAGTTACATATTCATAATAAATATTAATTATTGTTATTATTAAATTATTTTTTCCGGAAATGTATTCAAAAGTAATTTACTAATGAGTTAAGTATTAAGTAAGTTGCGAACATAAATTAATATATTATAATAATTGAACATTTACAAAAATGTTTGATTTGTAATATGTATATGTTTATAATACACAAAACAAATATGTATTTGATCAAATAGTAATTACTATAAGAACTTAATAATTACTAAGTTCACATGAGTTATTTAATCGATGATATGAGGCCAAGGAAGCTATTCAAATTCTACTTGTATTTTCCTACCTTTTTACTACCCATTTTACCTTTCAGTAAAAATCAAATTTTGGTCGAAATCATTTGAGCCGTTTCCGAGATTAGCTTGGACGAACCGACAAATAAACACTTCTACTTTATTTATATACCTACGTACTTATAGATGGATAGATAGATATTTTATAGTTTAGTTAGGAAACTTAGGAGAGCCAGTTGTCTGACGAATAACACAGACAATCTCGACTTATTCCGCTGGAAATATGGCCCAGTCAATCGTGATTACGTGAATATTATCCAAACTCTAAGATGCGTTATGAATTATTATTGTTGGAATGAAAATGTGACAAGTCTTTTTACATGTATATTAAGAGTAAATAATCTGCAATATACACACTTTCTTCAAATTGAAATAAAAAAAATATTAACGATTAGTGGAGTATACAACCTTCACGGTAGTAGATTCCATTAACTTTGAATTAACTATGAAATTATAGTCTGTAAAGTGTCTTATGATTTGTCATAAAATATAATTGTGTATTACTAACCAATTGTCTAACAAACCTATATCGTATTAAATATTATAGAATTTGTATAATTAATAAGTTAGTACTATCTGTACTTTTATTGTTCGTTTGACTTCGGTTTCCAATCATTTTTTTTATACATTCCTTATAGTTCATTCAAGTTTAACTAAAAATGAACAAAAATATGACGATTCCAAATTTTAGTTCGTCTATGCAATACAAACAGACACCAGCAAATCCAATACGATTAATTTTTGAAATATTATTATGTATTTTACTTATAATACCAGCTGTTCTATGGGCAACGATTAAACTATTTTTGAAATCACCACGGAAAAATATACGAGGACAAGTGGTTTTGGTAAATACTTAAGAAATTATATAATATTTAAATCGTTTTTTCTTCTAAATTGTACGAATAACAAATGTACCCACTATACTCAATTAGTTAATAAAATACCAAGACATACGATTGGTATAATTTATTAAAACAATACTATATTTGATAAAATTATTTTTAGGTTACCGGAGCGGCTCGGGGTTTGGGCCGCGAGCTATGTACGAGATTTCACGAGTTGGGCGCCAAAGTAGTTTGTGTTGATGTGGACGGACGAGGATGCGCAGAGACGGCAAAAGAGATCAACCGAAATGGTGGAACGGCCATGAGCTATGAAGTAGATGTAACCAATCGACGCCAAATAGCAGCCATGCACACGGCTGTAAGGACTGAATTGGGCCCTGTCGACATACTAGTAAATAACGCAGGTCTCGTTTCGGCTCATATGTTTGTTAATCCTGAATCAGAGCAGCTTATTGAAGATTTAGTGAACGTCAATCTTCTGGGACAAATTTGGGTGAGCTAACGTTGATAGGTTGTTTACCTTATACTACAAATTATTTTTACTTAACGTATACATATATAATATGAATTTGATCATTTCTTTTAAGATTCATTTTCTTAAGATTAATATCTATATAATACTAGTGGGTCATAGTTATCATGTTAGTATCCGGGGAATTTAGGTGCTAAGGCAAAATTCCAATATTTATTTTGAGAAAACCTTCATTTGTACATAGATTAATCATTATAAAATTACAATAGTACATTATATTACCTTCGTTGAACTTAAAAAAAAAATATTGTTATTTTATATTTAAATACATATATAATCAATATTGTTTTTTCTTAATCCAGCCCTTAATTTTAAAACTTTTTAAAGTTTGTTACCACTACTCATAATAAATCTAATCTATATTCAAATCTAATTTTATTATAAAATGTTATTTCTGTAGATGAATAGAGAAATACTGCCTTCGATGTTAGAAAGAAACCAAGGGCAGATTGTCGCTATATCATCCATGTCATCTATGAGCGGATTATCCGGGATATCCACATACACGGCTACTAAATGGGCCACAAATGGTAAATTAATTACACAATTTTAATAACAGAAAAAATGTAATTATAATTTAAATAATGATATTAATCATGTAACGAAGGTACATGATCATTCATATAACAAAAGTGACAAGAAGTCTTAATTTTGAATTGTCGCCCTTAATAATTATTATATATATCATACGTAATTCAACTTTCACAGCAAAAAACGGCGAATCTTAATTTTTACAGTCATTCAGGAGAGTCAAGAGAAGATTTCAAACATGATTTCTTATTCTGTTTATTTATGTATTCTAATACGGAATTGAAATTTTAATAATCCAACTAACATGAGAAAAATACTATACATTTTAATTTTGAAAAAGTTCAACGTGCAATTAAATAATAACACTTTTTCTCAAAAAAGTATTTAGATACGACTTTATTCGTCAAAAATTCTAGTTACGATCTTCTTCGCTATTGTAACTTAATTTACGACTGTTTACTCCGAAAGGTTAGACGTATTTTGGTTTAAAACAATGACAAAAAAATGTTTAATTCTGTGGATAACTGTACAGTCTCCTCGGAAGCGAACCCTGGTATTGGTATATTGAATTTTAAATAAATGATAAACCATGACGTCATTAATAAAATGATTCTAAGCAGAAGTGGTTTTACGGAGAGAAAGGGTCCAGAGGGTCTGGATCACCCCCCCCCCCGGACTTAGAGTTTAATAACTTAAAATTTTTGTTGATTAAAACATTCATGGTGCATTCGTGGCGATAAGTAAAAAAATAATATGTAAATTAATTAAAATAAATTAATAACACTATTATTGGGTAAATATTGTTTGTATATTAAATAGATTATAAGTTAATATCAAAGGATCCTTCCCTGCAGAAAAAAGTTCAAAAACTGACACTGATTCTGAGCAAAGATTTACTGTAATGTACGAGTATTTGTCATCTTTATAATTTGTATTCTTGACTTGATCTAGTCTTGATTTGTATAACTTACCTATGTTAACTACTAGTATAAGATAATTAATAATGCTGAATGCAATACAATAGAATTTTAATATTTAGTATTTATTGAAGTCCGTCTTACCGCTTGAATTTATTACTGATGATCAATATTTTTTTGGCACAATAAGTGTTATAAAAACAAAAATTATTAAAGTTTATAAAATACGACATTTTTCGTGGATAAGTAGACTACATTTCCTCAATTTTCCGAGCTCTTAAACCGATTTTTGGCAATTTTCCTTTAACAGACACGAGATACGACCTTTTTTGTTGCGGCTTTGACAATTACAATAATTGTAGATATTTTTTATTGTTATGATTTTTATCGAAAATTAAGTTCAAACTTCAAAGTGAAGAATTCTAAATTTCTTTTCCCCAATATAATCATTATCAACATCGTTTGACTTATTACATTATTTAAAATTTGTTGACAAAGGCCACTAAGTTTTGTTTTTATATCTAAGCATTTTGAAACTCAACCCAAACTTTAAAAGTAGATACTCCAATTTCTACTCAGATTCCTTTAACTTGTATGCCTAATTATTTAACTGAATATGTATAATATTTATATTTAGGTATGATGGAGAGTTTATATAACGAATTAAAAACATTGAAATCGACAGTAGTTTCTACAACAGTATGTCCATACTTCATAAAGACCAATCCAGAAATTTCAGAACATTTAGAACTTAGGTACTTTTAATATTTAATTTCGATTAATATTAAAATGACAAATTAAAGACAAATTCAAATTTTAGATTTCCAGAAATGCCTACTTCGTTTGTGGGTAAAATTGTTATGAACGGTATACTAGAAAATCGAAGAATTTTTTCAGTACCCAATCACTTTATGTTCCCAGTTGCATTTGTAAGGTAAATTTGAATTTTTTAATTAATTTTATTGCTAGCGACTAATAATTATTTTAAATTTTTGATTTAATATGTGCTATTTTTGTTTTCAAAAAAAGTCCATAACAAATTAATTTATTGGTACTATTGTAATATATGTATCGTATTGTATTATATATTTATTTTTCAGGATATTACCTGATAATTTACAATTATTAATCAATAAAATATTCTACGTAAATATCATTGGATTTCAAAAAGACAAAGAATTGATGAAAAAATATCAACGATAGTGAAAATATTATTCTGATAAATTTCCATCCCTTAAAGCAGTGGTTTTCGACTTTTTACGAATCACGACCACATAGTTTTTTTTATGTAAGTCAACTCCTTTAAAAATTGTGTAATGAAACTTGAATAGATAGGTACTACGATGTACAATATACTTGAAACTTATGGTTTTTGGCAACCCGGGTCCTTTGTAGCCCTTTGTGATTCGCGACCACCAGATTGAAAACCACTGCTTTAAAGAGACATAATTATTTGTAACTATTTATATATATATATATTGTATTATACAATATATATATGAATAAGTACTACCAACTAATTTATAATATATGAATCCACAGAATAATAATAGTTCAAATGTTTAGAAAATACTTATTTTTTATTTTGGATTTTTAAATATTGTTAAAAAAAAATAATAATTTTGGTTTTTAAAATTATATTATTTTGTTCATTAACAACAATCATATTAACCTATAAAAATAAATCAAAACCTCGAATATGTTCAACTTATATTTATCAAAAATAATTAATTTTCTCGACGTTCAATTATTTGAAATTATTTATGGTCTATAATAATTATTATTATTTTGTGTACGCTCTTATTCTTTCTGTATACCTATACCAAAATATATACAATGTTTCACTTAAGAATGAACAAATAAGTTATAATAGTCACTATAGTATATTTATATATATATATATATACATAGATCCTATTTAGAAAAATGCAAGTTTGACGACTACGTTTGACTTCTACATTTCTGCATTACCTATAATAACTAATAATTTATTTAAGTGGTGAAAAGAATATCAAAATTGTTTTAACGAATATGAACTAAAAAATGTGTTTTAGAAGCTATACCTACCTAGATAAAACTCCAAATGAATTGAAAACAATTCCATTGAGACTTATAATTGGCTCTATTTTTGAGAGGACGTGATTCGATTTCAATTACTAAGTATAATATACTAGTTATAGTCCAATTTATTGTTGTCAGATAATTTAATGACCCAAAATAATATAAGCTTGGAAACGGAGACTAAAGGTAACTGTCAACATATTATTAATAATATAATAAATGTGATTGATCTCTAAACATTTGATTTGAAATTAAATCGCAAGTACAATCATTTTTTTCAAACACGTACCTCCAAGTGAAAGGTTTGAACAATAGCCATTTTCTCCGATGTTCCGTAGATAGATACCACACACTATTTTATATAATGAAGTAGTAGCAATTTTAAAATATCACGAATCTAATGAGTATGCCACGTACTTTATAATGTATATTATAAATAGTGATAGCTCATTGAATTTAGATTCTGAATGTAGCGAGGAATGTATTGGTTTTTCAAAGATTTTAATTTTTTATTTCTTTATTTTTTTATACAAAAATTCTACCAGGAAGCTTACTTTGATGTATATGATGTAGACCTTTTTTTAGAAGGAAATTTTCTTGGGTTGAAACTTTAGGGAGATTATTTTTCGATTTTTTCAGGATTTTTCTCATCAACTGTGAAAAATCAAAAAAAAAATGGAGGAAAAACGATAAAATGTACGAAATATGTTAGTATAATATTACGATTTCTTTTGTTTTCTGTGAACTACTTTTCTACTACCCATTTTGCTCCGATTTACAATGATAGCACTTTTTCTCAAAGAAAATCTGACTGGGAAGGTACTTTAAGGAGGTGATTTTTCGATTTTCTCAAGAGTTTTCTCAGCAAATGTGAAAAACCGGGAAAAAAACATTGGGAAATCGTAAGAAAAACAAGATCAATATTGAACAAATATATAATACTTATCTATTTAATTATTCCTAATTATAAATATACCTAATTATTTAATATTTTACCGTAATATGACATGTATTATTGACAAAACATCACTACTAACTGAACTTCGCTAAGAATCCTTTTTTCGTATCACTTTTCCCGACGTTTACTCTGCATTTATAATATTTTTAACATTACCGGTTACAACAGCAACATTGGAAAGGTCGTTTCTGAAGTTAAAAATAATTAAAAACTACTTAAGAAGTGTCTTTTAACGTCTCACAGGTCTTGCTTTACTGAGTAATGAGGCTGAAAGAGCGTGGAAATTAAATTTTGATATTTGATATACTTATTGATATTTTTGCCGAGGAAATGTGATGTCTATTCTAAAGGATAAAGGAAAACAATTGTAATTTTATATAACTACCCGAGCAAAGTATTTCATAACAATGTATACCTAATATAGAAAAAGTACAACTAAAAATTATTTAACAATTTTGTTTTTACTTTAGTTTTGTGTAATTGTTAAAGTGTTTTTATTTTATTTAATACAAAATGTTCAATGTAATATAAGTGTGATTGAGTTAATTTTATGAAAAAAAAAAAAACATAAATTTAGTCACAACAATGTTTTAATGACAAAGGTCGAAGAGTCTAATTTTTATTAGGTAGGGCGAAAATTATATTTTGTCTCGAGGCGCTGTGGTAGGTAACTACGCCACTGAATGAAATGGATTTAATAATCTAAGGAAACTGTCTTTTCCTGGAGCGTTTTGTGTAGGTTTTAGATGCCTAGTTGATTGTTCACCATAATATACGCATAAACGGTTCATTAAGTGATAAGAGTTACCTACTTACCTAGGGTTACCAGATTTCAAAATTCAAAATACGGGACTAAAAAAAATGTCTATTTCAAATACAGTGAAATCTCCCTTCACGGACACCTCCATATAAAATAGCGAACAAGAATGGGTATCATTTTATAAGAATTATGATTAGATGCATCAGTCATAATTGATACAAAATTGCACTTGAGTAAATCTTTTTTTAAAACATTAACAGCATAGAGTAAAAATACATTAGTGATGATAGATTTTGTTTTAGTTCTACCACAAGTAAATTTTTTCTCAAATAATTTACGAACTAACTGAGAAGTACAATCCATAGAATTGAGACTTTGACTGTGTTTACAAGTATGATAAGCAAAAATTCCTTCATCTGCAGCTAATTTTTGTTCTTTATCAGCAAATTGTGTTTTTGGAGAAAAAAAATTTGACAATTTTTGAGATTTAGACGCTCTAGCAGCTATATTATGTCGTTCCGATTTTAAATGTTGTGTAATATCCGACTTACCACCATGTTCAATGCTGAGTGCTGCTCCACATACAATACAATCAATTTTATATTCTTGTCCTGGTTTTTGACATTTTTTTAAGAATATGTATTCATTTTGTAACTTTTCATTAAATGTGCACTTTCTTTTGGGCATTTTAAAAATTAAAACTTAACTATCATATTATTATGTTATAAAAACGATTATAGACTAATGTATATTACTGTGGTCTGACCAGACTATGAATTATAATAGAACAGATAAGAATAATAATAATTTTCTTATCGACTAATCTATTTTATAATAATATGCGAAATGGTAAACATAATATAAAATTATAACAATCTATTAATAGAAACAAAATCGGCATCGGCCATAGACCTATAAAGACCTTTATTGTTCTATGGTATCGGTCGGTATGGTCATATGGTTATATTATAATCTTCTATTATCTATGTGGCCGACGGGTAGTGATAATGAATAACAAGTAGGTAATTGTTATCTCAAAACGAAAAAGAATACAATATATAATATGGGTACATATTTTAGCAAACGGGACATTTCAGTGTCCACAACGGGACACTTAGTCAAAAAAAGGGACATTCCCGTATTATACGGGACGTCTGGCAACCCTATACTTACCTCAACCGTAACCACTAACACAATGTAATTTTATAAGAAATATATGATTTTGAAAGTAATTATTGTAGACATATATATTAATAAGCTTCCACTTTATATTACAGGGAGATACCTGTTACAATCGCCGTTTGGCATTTATAAATATGTTTCAGAAAAATCGATACGATTTATTGGCGGTAAAATCCAAACTATCAATATATTTTTATCAGTCATTATCTATCATGCGTCATAACCACGGTTTAAGGTATACGTGATAAATTGTGACCGTAACCATTAACCCACATGTTTCAAAACCGCTGGAACCGATGGTTTGTTCGCGGGGACATTAAAAAACGCCATCTAACACATACAGCGAATTTTTCAGTTGAATAAAAAAAAATGATAATTTGCATTCACTGATTCGCTGGTACTTTAGATCATATTGTATAATGATCTATAAGCAGTAACGAATTCCAAGGGGGGAGGCGATCTACCCCTCGATTCCCCCCTTCCGTAGATCCGCCACTGTCTATAAAATTGAAACATATTTATATATAGTATATATTTTCCATCTCAGTGACTGGTACCATAGATATATAAAATAACTAGATAGCTAACTGTATACTGGCTTAACAACAAATTGAAATCGTCAACCATTTACAGATGGCAAAAACGATTGAAAAATAGGATAAAATTGATATCGATATAAGTGTTATCGATATTTTTATCGGTTCGATGTTTATTATCTCATAATGGACAACGTAATAACAAGAATAAAAACCTTTAAATATCAACAATTTACTATCGTACCTATGGCTGGTATCAATTAAAGATGATAAATAATCTTAATTGGTGGTCATATTTTTTATCTAAAACCATATGTCCATGACCGAGGTGAACATATAATCATGAAGACAAGACTTTCTTATATTACATTTAATGATGGTGATTGTTGTTATCATTCTCGATAATCGATAAAGTGAAATTGTAAATTGCCGTCGGGCCTCTGGCGACTACACTCAGTAAATCTATCATCGTGCATTTTTGAGAATTCATCATTTTCTAAAAAAGTAAGGCATTATTCATATCATATTGTATACCTACAATTTAATATTATTCGAAAATCATTCAAAATGTCCCTTGGTCAAGTTCTACGTGGTACTTTTCAGTAAGTCATTCAATATTTATATTCATTCCATTAAATTTTTTATATTATTATGATTATTCAAATTATAGAAAATTTATTGGAACTACCTCTCAAGGGTTTACACAAACTAATTTTTTGGTACCATCTACAATGAACTCATGGTCTATTGACATCATTCGCACAAAAACTCGTAACCATTTTCCACGACCAAACGAAGCCAAGCGTATTAAAAGGCATGGTTTTTGGACAAGAATGGCAACAGTAGAGGGACGTAAAATACTACAACGCAGAATACTCAAAGGACGATATGTCCTGAGTCATTAAATTCAATTTTATCTTTAATGTTAAAATAATTTATAATTAGTTTTTAAATATTATATACCACAGTGTTTAAAAGATAAATAAAGTAAAAAAAAATAACATTCGATTGCTCATTGAGTTATTTATTTTATATTTTATATTATATAATATGCCTATATTATTTTTAATTTTTATATTAGTGTTATTCAAATCTTATGGATGTCGGCCGTTGATCTTATTCCGATATTTTAGTGATGCAATTGATGTTGGCAAAGTGAAAAAAAAAAAACAACGAAATATCAATAACTATTGTGTTCCTATACTTTCAGAAGATAAGAAACAAGTAATTTATAATTAAAATGTATTTCTACTACCTATTACATCTAATTAAAGTATTTCTATAGTCTATTAAAAGAATTGTTTCTTTACAAATAAGTGGTCAATATATAATTAGTACTACTATGCTTCGAGATGGTAATATACTTAGTGATTGGCAGTTTCTTAGTTTGCCAGACAATATGAATAAATTTAATTTAAATGATGTTTATAATTGTGTAAGTAATACATTTGTTTATTTTTTATTCATATCTTAACAAAGGTTTTTCTTTAGGTTGCTAAACTTGTAAAGAAATTACCAGAAAGTGATGTTTATCTTATCGAAAACTTTATAAAAATGCCAAACAATGTCAATGTTGCTGGGGCAAATTTATTTTATGTTAGACTACAAACACTTTCTATGCTCATTGCACTTATTAATAGTGGTAATAAAGAAAATTCTTCAAATGAAACTGGTCAATATTTACTGATATTTATTTATTTAATATTTGGATTATTTTTTATTGTATTTAGTTATTTTTTCTAGAACATTCAAACAAAGTGATACTAATGAAAGCACGTTTGCAAGCTAGATTATTTAGGATTATTGTGGGTTCAGAAGTCATTTCGTCACAAGATATAACTGAATTAATGTTTAAAGGCACTTTTCCTGATTATGTAACGCCTGTTATTCCAGCAATTGATGCTACTTTGACTTATAGATCCACTAAAGAACCATTAATTAAAGAATTTATGTCTAATGGCCTCATGTTAGCAATGACATTTATTGATCTGGTTTTAAATTCAAATTCGAACACTATTCAAGCTCTTAATGTAAGTTCCAGAAGAAAATTAAAAACTACAGATGTATGAACTTAAACATGTTAGTAATTATTTTATTATACAATAGATAGAAATTTAATTGAATTAAGATTTTTTCTAACAAATTATTAGTTGATGTAAAATTAGATTTAAATTCTTATAGTACTAATTACAAGATAAATAAAGTGTATTTATATATATATATATATATATATATATATATAAAGTAGAATATTACAAAACATATGCTATAGATATAAAACTAAATAAATAAATAAGATGATAGAATACAATTAATAAATTTATGTTGTTAGAGTAGAAAATATAATATTTAGTACTTCATATGAATGAACAATCTCATTGAAAATATGAGAATATTTTTAATAATTGATTAAATTGTTGATTCAGTAGGATTTTTAAAAATAGTTTTATCTGAAATTTTTTGTAGCAGTGTAATGTTCATGTTTTTTTTTAACATGTCGATTTAAATCGTTTTTCTGTTGATATTTTTTATGACACATCAAACAATTATAAGGTTTTTCACCGGTATGTACTCTCATATGGATACGAACTTTTTCTGGTCGACTAAATTTACGTAGACAGATTTCACAACTGTATTTTTTTGGAGAATGTACAACTTCATGCTGGCGTAACGTTGACAAGCATTTAAATGATGAATCACAAATTATGCACTTATATGGTCTTTCTCCAGTATGCTGACGCTGGTGAACACTTAACTGAGATTTGTTTGGCAATTGTTTACCACATGTCTCACATATCAAGCATGTAAAATGGCTTCTTTCGTGAATTCGTCTCGATGTCTCAAGTATAAAAGTTTTATTACAATACCGACAGCCAATATAAGTGCAGTTATCAGGCAGATTGAATGCAAGGGCCCATTCTCTGGTGCGTGGTACGTCGTGTGTTTTAATGTGACGTATAAGATCAGTTAAACTGTTGAAACATGTCAAACATAAATCGCATGGATAGTAAGGAAGTTCTGCAGCAAAATGTAATTTTACGTGGTTTTCAAATTCTATTACATTTGAACACCGACGAAAACAATGATGGCAATCCAATTCTTTAAGATTATGATTCAACAATATATGGCTTCTTAATTCTGTACCTTTATTGTAAAGAATATATAACTGTGTATAGTAAATATAAAATTTAATTAGAATGCATTACACTCTTACCACTCTTAAAAGTTTCTGTACAACGTAAACACTGTGTTTTATTTGTTTTATTTTTCAAATCAAGCTCTTTGTCTGTAAATGTAATATTAGAGGTTTTTGCATTATGTTCATCCACAGTAAAAATGTATAGCTCATTTTCTTTGTTATTATTTTCCTAAAACAATAAACCATTAATCTTTAATACCAAATAAACCTAGTGAATGGTAAAACCTGGATCACTATTTCATTAATGCCAATAGCAAAATCTTCCTTTACAGTTTTTTCAATTCCTAATGAGTCAATCATTGCAAAATCTTCGTTTAAGGTGTTTTCAATTCCTAATGAGTGAGTTTCATTCTATACAAATATAAAATAATATAATATACTGTATATAAAAAATTAATAATTTACTGTCCTGCATGGCTTTGTCTATACACAGTATTGAAGAGTAAAAAAAGCCTGTTTCTCCGTGATTTCCCATTTCCACCCTATCCTCATCACAGATAAGCAATGTTACTTGGTAATTTTTTTTTTTTGAAAATACTTCCTTACCCATAATAACCAAATTCGTTAATAATGACTTTTTTTTATCTCTATCACCAAGGTTACCAATAAATCAACAAAAATGATTATAACTCAGTTCTGGAAATACTAAAATCCCTGTGTTAGCTACCCTTTAGGGATTCAAATTCAGAAATCTGGCGTTCATTGGCATCTGCATGTAAATTGTTAAACATCTGCTTGCCGTAGATTTAACAAATGCATATAGACAAACACTTCCTTTTTTTATTATAGATGGACAATAAAAAATAATTGAAAACTATTTTGCTTAAATTAACTCAACATATTTTGTTGAGTGTTTTTTTAAATATTCTACCTTCATAATATCCTGTGTGATATCACCAGCAATTATAGACATTAACTTTGTGGTGTTATGGCAAAATTCAAATATAGGATGTACATCTTCTATTTGAACAATGCAATTACGACAAATTTTCAATGATAGCTGATCTTCTGGAGATACCTATAAATATTAACTTATTAATGTTAATTAATGTTAAATAATATTAATTTCAAAATGTATGTGTCATATTAGTACACCATAATTTGTAAAGCTCAGAAATTGATCACACAGTAGTATTGTGTAATTCTACTAGTAAAGTATTTACTTGAAGTGTAGCAATTAAATTTATCTTGTCAGCCAAGCTCACGGAATTTCCATATTGATTGTAAATATCCCATAATCCAGGATTTCCACAGATACGACAAAGCTTCAGCATCCTTTCTTGAAAAGACTATTTAAAAAATGTATTTAATGTTTTTGGGTTTCTATTAATAAAGGTACTAACTCATATTATGTTAATGAATATCAAATTTTGTATAAGTAACTAATAACCAAGGTTGGGATATCAATGTACTTTCCACTTTTCTTTTTTCAAAGTTTGTTATGCAATTTTGGTTTTCTTACATATTTGTTTCATATATATGTATAAATTAGAAAAAGAAATTGTACTTTGCATTTACAGTTTTTGGTTTAAGTTATTTTTTTTTTTTTTTTTTTTTACAGCATTTTGGGATTTGTATGATTTAATAAGGTTTGGCTATAAATTATAATAAGTATTTACTAACCCATGACATAAATTAAGTAGGCAGAAAAGTACTAACTAATTAAACATGCAACATAATAACCATTGATTTTATCAGAAATGTTCTATAATCAATAATGTAACCAAAAAATATTTCTAAAATATCTCCCTATTCAAAATCCTATTGTATCTATTTTATTTGTAATTTGTATTTAGTTATTTAGGTAGAAATGTGTTTAATATCAATAAAATTAATAGGTAATAATTTCCTTACGTTATTTTCCTTTTCAAGTATTTTTGTCATTATTTCATTGGTACGTCCACTCATTTCCACTATATGGTTTATGGTAGTAATTTGACTCACACAAGCATCACATATCATTGTTGAAAGACGGTCATTAAGTGTGATCTGTAATCCACGAAAACAAAAGTTACAACATACGTTATATAACGTAATAATTGTATTTAAAAAAAAAATAATAATAATTTATAACTGCATAGATGTACATACATTTATTGGTAACAGCGTGTTTATTTTTTCAGACAAATCCAATGTCTGCCCTAAAGTTCCAAATATATTTAAGGAACCCACGTCTCCGCATATTCGACAAAGTTTTCGGGTCCTATCGTTAGACGACATCTAAAATTACAATAATTTCAATGTTCATATTAGAGATGATGCATTTTTGTTACCTATTATACAGGTCAAAAAAAGATTAATATAAATTAATTCTAAACTACTCTAAGTACAATTTTAAATTTGAGTGCCTATATCTACTCGTGATTTACCGGTGATTCGGGAATTTAATATATTATATATAATCAACGCATAATGGATCAATTATTTCAAATTTTAAACAAATATAATATTTGTACAAGATGATCTATCAATACCCTTCTAAATGGATCACCTTGTATGTAATTAGGTATACCTAAATAGGTACCTAATTTGTTTATGCATAGGTATAATATACATGTAGTATTTTCACTATTTTTTGATACCACCTAGCACTGAAAATATCAAAAATCTTACATGTAATATTAAGGTAAATTCTGAGAAAGATATTATGGTGATATTAAAAAAAAACCTAGATTTTAAATTGGGTAAAAATTTGATTATTTTTAGCACTACGGTGGTATTGTAAAAAAAATGTTGCAAATTAATGTGTATATTAATTCTAAAAGAATATTGGAAATCGCGTATTGTACTCTATTGTGTTATATTTTAATTTGTTATCTTTTACAAACCAGATTTTTAAAAAATATTAAAAATCAAAAATGTCAATGCTTTTATTGTGATCTTCATAGTATACTCTTTAGAAAACATAATAATAAACAGAAAAAACGAAAATTTAATTTTAATTGAAATTTGAACATCATAAATGCCACTCCCACAACAACCAATTGGATCTCTCTACTAGATATCAACCTATGATACCTATAACTTATTTTATGATTTATTATGATTATGTTATTTGTTATTATGATTGACTTGTTTTACTGCTTTTTTATTATTATTATATTTTACTACACGTTTATGTTTCAGTTGTATTTTATTTAAAAAAAAAAAATGTTTTTATGATGGACAACTTAAATTTATGCTACATGTTGAAAACCTTGCAAAACTTGTTTATGCTCCACGAAACATAAATAATTTTGAGAAATTTAAATACTGTACAAGAGGCGACCAGATAGGGAGTACCCACCAATATGATCTTTTAGGGATTCATATTTATGAACAGTCTGTCGTTATGTGGCGTTTAAGCACCAGAAAGTTGTAAAACGACCGTACTATTATGTGGTAACTCGCACTCGGGTGCTGATTTATTCGGCCGTGATAAAAACAAACAGCATTTGAATTTAACACAGATATCTGTATAACCTAAATAGATATCTGTGGTATTTAATAAAATAACAAGTTGTATACGTTTCACTCAGTGTGGTATCATTTTCACGTCGCACACAACAATTATTTGACAATGATAGATACTGGGCATTTTCGCGGTATCCCTATGGTCCAGACCGTCCCCGAAGGCCCCGACCCAGTGGCGTAGGCTCGGGCTTACCCGCTTTTCTCCGAAAATCAACACAATTTTAAAATAAAAAATTTGTATTAATAGTATTTCGTATTCAACATTTCTAATCATTTTATCTGGCCTACCCAGAAAAATATTTCTAGCTACGCCCCTGTCTAAACCTGTATAACAATGTGACGTGACGTAAAATGTCGTTATTATGTTAAGCATACCTAGGTAACTACCATGGGAGGATCTCTATGGGTGTAGGGTGTAGCCCCGCATTTACGTAATTCTCTGGACACCATATAATTAATAACATTACGGAGTTTGGAACGTCAATTTTGAAGTATAGGTTGAAATTATAGTACAAACATAATGAGCAACATTTAAAAATGAGAACATTTTCGAGAACTCTACGTACATTTTTTTCTAAAAAAAGTTATAATCGTGTGAGGTTTTTTTTTTTATGTCTGCAACTTTTGTATACGAACTCATAATGAATTCGCAGTCAAATTTATTGTTCAACGTTTTCCGAATTATAATTATTATATTTTTTTTTAAAGATTAAAAACTTGTAGAACACGATTACGATCTCTTAATAAAAAATTGAGCCGTGTAAAATAGTTTTAAAAAATAATCGGTTTTTTTTAATTTTTTATAAAATCCGATTTCAAACATTCCTTCATTCAAAACATTAGAATTTTCCACGTAAAACGAATTTTCTGGTAAATTATTTTCGTAATGTACCCCTTAAAGTGAACAGTGTCTCCAGACCATATATAAAGGATACAGTACCCATTTTAATGGTTAAATTATGCATAAATTCTAATTCTAATTTTCGGAATTTTGAAGTTTAGTAAAAAACAATATTTTTACATACTTATATTTTTCATAACATCACAACACTTATAGATTATTTTGTGATGATATTAACTTTGATTTTTCAAATGAGATTCTACATTTTTAATGCACGCTGTTCTTCTGATCATTTGTCTGAAACATTTATTTTTTGTAATCATCATAAACCAAAACAAGAAATTGCCTACACAAGACTCCTATGAAATAGTTGGTAGGTATCCGATCACCATAAAAAGCTATAATATAGGTATTGTGTTTAGTATTTAAAGCAAAATAAGTCAGAAAATGTTTGTTCAAATTTCGACTACGATACGTCAAAATTACCAGAAAAATCATCCGATTGATAATTTAATTAAAAAAAGTAAGTTCTCATTTGAAAAATTAAAGTTGGTTTCGCTATAGAATACTCCTTGAATGTTTTAAAAAATCTAAGTAACTACGCGAAAATATCACCATTCACTAAACTCAACAAATTCCGAAAATCAGAATTTAAATGTATGCATAATTTAACCGTAAAAATGGAGTGACCATGCTTAAAAATCGCCCCGTTTATGAAGGGTTGCCTGCGTTGTTCCTGCAAAAAAAATGACAATATACTTATACTTGATGAAATGTATTAGGTTAGGTTATCAATATTTCAGTAAAAAAAAGAAAAAGTGCATCAGAATATAAAGTTCGTCCAACTATGGGAAACCGTACAACAAAAATGTACAGCATAAAAATTGTAATCATCTCTGTTATTTGTATGATAAGTCGAGCTATTAATACCCATAGTCATAGCGGGTACCTATTTGTGAGTGGTTTTTTTGTAAATATGTATAAGTGAAATTATCAAGTAGGTATCCCAGTTTTAATAAGAATAGATCGAGTAGGTATAATAATAGCGAATACTTACGGCCATATCTGTGAAAACTACGTTACGCAGTTAACAATTTTTTTTTCACGTTTCGTTTTTTTATTCACGTTGTTCTAAAAAAAAATTAGATTTGCATCGAAAGTATGGCACACTATTAATTTTTAACGAATGAATTTCGTTTGGAAAAATCTAATTACAAAAACGGCGTAGGTAAACGTGCCGGCCGGCAACGTATCGTTCAGAAAAATTAAAAAAATACGGTTTGCTAAAAAAGTTAGTCGCGATCGCGGTGAAAAAAAAACTATCCATGGAACTTTTGTCAACGGACCAGTGTGACCACTATAAGTCATGGGATAAATTTAAAAAAACTCATGGTTTTTTCGTCCACTATATTTTATTATTATATAGGTAACTAGGCACTTATTCCGTGTGACTACAGTCATTTTTGAAACGCACGCATATATATTCGAATCTCCTTCTCTTTTTCTATTGATTTCACGAACACTCTTACTTCTAACTTACTTCTTATTTAGCAGCCATTCCTAATGTCATAATCATAAATCACCAATCACGTTTTTTTTCGCTGCTTCTAACATTAATTTTTTTTTAAAGTAAAACACTCCATAATTGACTAACCAGTATTCCGTTCCATATAATCACATTCGATATAAAACGTGGCAAGATTAAAAAAAAGACCTATAATTCTGACATTCAGTACGCGAGATTGAAAGTCAAATAAAAACTGTCTTCATATATTTATCAAATAAAATAATTACAATAATTTGTAATTTTTAATTGCCACCTTCTAGATCAGTGGACTTCTAACATGTTTTTAAACACAACATTTTCACAGCACATGTCTCCAATAGCGCACAGTACATTATTCACAAGGTCGTCGAAAATACAAATATCTATAGTTAACCACCCACTGAACTAGTCAAATATGAGTTTAGACATAATAAAACTCAATTACAAATTAATACTATTAATATTAAACAAATATACATAAAAATAACATCTAAATTCACCTGGCATCCACCAGGCATCCGCCTACCAATTTGCTGAGGGGTGTCAGTTGACACCCTAGACCCCCTCCCCCCCGGTGTGCACCACTGCATGTTTCAGCAATAAATGACTTTTTGAGACTCTTTTTTCGGTAATTATTTTAATTTGTTCACCAAATTAAATAATGTACTACCTATATTATAATTATATAAATATATATTTATTATAGATCTGGAAAAAATACCATTTTCAAAAGATCGCGGTTTATCAAGAATATGTTCATGTCACTCAGTTAAAGAACCACTGTTCTATACTTATCTGGTATTGTAATTTTGTTATACACCGAGCAGCAGATACTATTTTCATACTGGAGTAGCGAGTAACGTTTGAAAACTCAACTCAAGGTAAATCTAGTTCACATAGACCTAATAACATTAATAACCTAGTTATTAGGTCTATACTCTTGTTACCATGAGATAAGGAACACCTATATACTTAATGCAATACAAATGCGATTCTTACAACGTTCTCTAAGGTCTGAAATGGAAGGTATATGTTATGGGCTACTTATTTATTTTTAAATAAGGGGCAACAATAACTGTGATATTCGAAGTTTAGCCAAAGACAATTTGGTTGACACCTAAAATAATATAATCATCAAATTGCATATTATTAATTTTTGTTACGAGGAACAGTGTAAAAATATGTCGCCATGATAATGGTGACAGCGATTTAATGGCCACCGTTATTTTTAATTGTGACTTGATTATATGCTCATCACTAATGAATTGTGTTGATATATCGAGTATGAAATAGAACGGTTAACTATTAGTTAATTATTGTACCTAGATATTATAGATACAAACACAACATTAATCAAGGCAAACCAAAGCAAATTAGGTATAAAAAGTATTGTTATAAATATAATATATTCATTATATGTTTAAAACATGCATGAATAGATACATTTTTGAATGTACTAATAAATTGTTACATTAAAAACTGTAGTATAAGTATAATTAACTTATTCCAAAAGTACTACTTTTGCTAAAACATCCCTTTTTGCACCAACTATAACACAATTACAAAAAAAGGCCAACATATTTTGAATTATAGGTCAATGTAGTTGTGTGTGGGAAAATAGAATACATAAGGTGATTTAATTTATAACTGATAAATTTAAATTTTAAACATTGTGTTCATTTGTAACTACGAAAAAAAACTATGTCTATACATTTTTAATGAATTTGAAATTAAAGTGATTACAAATTTCAAAATTGTTATCCACATAAAACATTATCTCGAAACAATTTGAAATAAAAAAGTTTGAATATTTAAAAAAAGTATAAAGTATTCAGAGAAAATTTCAGATCTCTATGATTAGTTTTCATTAAATTAAAACAAAAAACCGAAATTGACACAGTTATTGAATAAATATTTTTGTTTTTCTCACACTAAAACTATAATGAAATTAAAAAAAATTGACCTATCTATTGCACTAACTAAATAAAATTTGTTCTTAAAAACTACCTAAGAAGTTGATGACAAGACAATATTTCTAGTAAAAATATGTCAAAGAAAAGAAGAAAAAGTAGATTCACACTATACTAAATCAATAAATTCCTTGATACTCTCGAAATCTATTAAATATTATAAATAAAAATACATTTGAAACCTCGTACTAGAATTTCGTTCTTTTTTAGTTTTTCATTATTGATCTTGGAGAAACAAAAATGTATTCGGATGGATTATATACATAGAAATATATAGAATATTTTTACACATTATTAAAGATGTTACAATAAAATAAAGGACATTTTTTATTTTTATCATAAAACAATACAGAATGCCTTATCACCCACATTTATTTTTCAGATATACCATTAATGTGTGCAGTTAAATTAATAAAATACAAGTTAAAATGTTATTGTAGGATAGGAAGATAAAAGTGTCATCGAAACTTCTTTGTATTTTCATTTGATTACATAATAATATAATATTCAAACTTTTGGAATCGTATTATATTATAAAAATAAAAGATTCACAAGATGCATTATACAATATGGCTATTAAAAATAGCATATAATTTATTCTTTGTTATACATGTATTTTGCAGACAAAATACATAATAATAATGTAGTTTAACAAATTTGGTTGGTAAAAAAAATAAATAAATTTCCCTAAACCATAGGGCTATTCTAATTTAAAATAAATATTAAAAAATCTTACTCTTTAAAATAATTATAACCTCTTATATGTATACATTCATAATATTATATACAATTAAATTTTACTTCAATCTAATTTATTAATCATACTATTATATACACAATATTTGTTTGAACAGAAAACATAAATATGATCGTACAAAGTACAAAGTTTTAACAGCGTACAGTTTTTCTGAGTTTATAGATACATGCGTGGTCGACGAGTCTACATATTTTATCAAATAGTTATTAGACTGAAAGACTCTAACATTATTAAATTAATGAGCAAGACAGTACATAAATAAATAATTTATGAAATAGTGTACACTGGCTAATGCATTTATAAGTATTACTTGGATGTTACAAATATAATTACACAAAAATATAATTGCTATGGACATTATTTGCATTAACCTACTTATTTCAATAGGAAAATGTATTGAATGAAAAAAATATTAATTTTGAAATTAAAATTTGTTTAAATAAACTGATAGCAAAATATTTGTATAGTTTAATTTCAAATTGAAGGATAAGGATACAAAGAAAAGGCAATTTTTGTGAACTTGGGCAATGAAAAAAAAAAAAACATAAAATATGAAGAAAAATAACAAAAAATAAAAGATTTATAATACAATTAAAACTTTGAAGAAAAAAATATGTAAATTGTTAATACTTTTCATTATTAATTTAAATCTGTTAAAACTATATACAATAGATATCACTATTGTAATGTTTTAATTTTATTGGTAACGTGTATTATTTTAAGAATATTTTTTTAAGAACAATATTATGGTAACACAAGGGTTCATGTCTTTTTGACTACAAACTTCATAAAACTAATGAGGTACGGACTAAATCTGTCATCAACAAAAATAATAAATTTATCCACTCCAGATGTTTAGAACAAATAGTGTTCATCACATTTTATATCCTAACTATAATTGACAAGTATCCGTACATTTTAAATTGAAGTTCTTTATTGAACAACTGCAATTGGTGTAGCAGTTGTAAGATTTGTAGGTGGAGCCTTGAAATCTGCCGAATTGTTTACTACTGTCGGTGGGCCTTTAAACTCAGGAGGAGGAGGTGGAGGAACATGATTAGCTGGAGAAGAAACAAAACTTTGTTGGGGATGATGATGATTACCAAAAGGTGAAGGCATTGCATAACACTGTGGGAAATATAACTCTGGTTTTACAATGCCAGATGGTTGATTGAGTATAGTGTTTAAGTGTGGTGGCCTTCCAGGTTTTACACTATCCGTTCTTCGTTTATTGGCATGTGGATTCATATGGTTATCAATGTGACGCTTGACCTCCTGTTCGGTACCAAACCGACGACGACAGTTAGGCATTGGGCAGCAAAATGGTCTTTCTCCCTGGTGGGTTCTCGTGTGTTGGTCAAGAATGGCTTTTTGCCTGAAATCCTTTCCACACTGTAAACATTTGTACGGTTTTTCTCCGGTATGTATACGTAAATGTTGATTTAGTATAGTCCGTTGTCGAAAATTCCGTCCACAATAAATACAAGTGAATGGTTTTTCATTTGAATGTATGCGGAGGTGTTGGGTGAGATGTGACTGTTGTCTAAAACGTTTACCACACTCTACACAAGGGTATGGTCTGGATTCTATATGAATACAACCGTGTTGTAGTAACGTAGACTTTTGTTTGAATTCTTTGTTGCAAATTGGACAACGAACAAAAAGGGGCATTCCAGCACTACGTCCATGTTGAATTACATCAGGTAGACTTTTACCAGCTTGGCCAAAAATTTCATGCACGACACCTTGAAGAGAAATTATAATAATAATTATTTATAATAAATTAAAAAGTAACTTATGTTTATTACCTTTGGCATCTTTAAAGTATGCAGGAAACTGAGGAGTATTTTCTGGAGAATAACATGGATCATTTGTGTCGTATTGTCCTAGTTTAGACTGCGGTAATGGCACATCTTGTGGCCAAAGTTGTCCATTTTTGTACACTAAATGTGGGCCCACATCTGAAAAATTAAATAAATCATAAATATAAGAACTCATAATTTTTTTAAAAAATATTTATATTTAAAGTTTTAAACAATATTGATAATAGGATTACAAAAGTTAATAAATGAAATAGGTTCCTTTCTCAAATTAAGGGGTTAATTTTTCTTTATAGGATATTAAAATAAATTTTTAAGTGATAATATAATCAATTTAACGATTTAAGGACTAAGATGATATTGTCGAACACAAAACGTAATTTAACATCAATATTTTGTCTTTATTATCATTCAAGGCCGTTCTAAAAATGTTTATTAAAAGAGTTTATTAGCGCTAATTGTTAGTTAGTCGATAAAATGTTGGCAGTTTACAGAAAAAATAACTACTGGTTAACACTAACTAACACTCAATAGGAAATTTTATGAACAGCCTTAAGTATAAACAATGTATGTTGTTTGTACCATTTATACTCAATGATAACTTCTTAAAATATTCAAAAGTTTTATGTCTACTAGTTTTATCAAAAAAATATATAATAAAAATCTAAATGTTATGAGTATACTTTTAATATATTTAAACTATTAATAATTTAATAATTTTTAAACAATTTTATTAAGTTATTATTGAATATGGTTATACAAATTGACTTTTGTAGACATAAAACTCTTGTGTTGCCGAATGGAGCTTTTCTCACCTTCCTTGAGCGGAGCGACATTTTCTCCTTGGTTGTTGTCACCAATAATCCATGGGCAGAGTAACTTATTCAAAAGAACATGCCGCTCCGAACCAGATAGAAGCCACCAGACAGACAACACAATAATACCTTAAAACTCATTACTCAAATACAAAAATTATGTAACATGTTTCTCAATTGTGCTCGACATTAGTAAACAGGAATAATATTTAGGATATCATTTTTTTATTGGACTTTTAATATAAAAACTAAGCATATTAAAAGGAATTACACAAAAGGAATGTTACCTATATATATAGTATACATATATTATATACATTATATAAGGATAAAAACAAACATAAAAAAAAATAAAACAAAAGTAAAATAAAATTAATAAATAATAATTATAATACTCATAGTAAAAGGAAAATAAAAAACTGAAAATAAAATATATTCAGGCCTATTGTTAATATTTTCCACGTTTAATTGTATTTCAATTAAAATTATTATCGTACAAAATAATTAAATCTCAATAGACAAACTAAATAATACTGGATATTAATTATTTAAAAAATAATTAATATCTAATTTTTATTTACAAGAAAAATTTAATATTACAAATTTCGTGTTTTAAATTGTTAAAAAAAAAAAAAAAAAAAAAAATAATAATAATAATAAAACAAAAAAAATAAAACAATTATTGTAATAATAAGAAAACTTTTTAAGGATGTTTGATCAAGTTAACTTAACATCTTTATTAAAAAAGATCAGGCGTGGTTTAAAATATCACTCCACAATTTAAAAAGCAAATATAACATTTAATTAATTGAAAAAAATGTTAATACGTTGAAATAGTGACAATAGGCAGTTAAATATTGTGTATTAGTAAACAGCAATTAAAATAGGTAGCGTAATATTTTATCATACGGATGCAGAGAAACTTTGTTTGCAAGCCATCCTGAAAACAGTACCTAATTTTGGATATTTCTCATATATACCATGCCTGACCTAACATGGGTGAGAATTTATTTTTTATCATTTTCAGTTACAACTCTCATAGGGAGACCTTCTTCAGTTCTGATATGGGCAACGTTTGTCCTAACAATGGCTCTAGGGAAAGATCTTGAAGGAATGTCCAGCATGTTTAAAGAAGTTTTGGCATTATTAGATGAAGAACTATGGGTAGAGGAATTTATGTGTTTTGCTTTAAGATTATTATGCAGTAATCTCGAAGCAACATTTCTAAATTCAGAGTTGGTCAAGTGTTGTTCGTCTTGTGCACTATCACTTAGGTTCGGGTAGTATTTCATTCTAAACGCTTCAGCTGAAGACTTGAGAAAAGCGTTTAAATTATTGTGAAGTTGAGAGGGCGGAGGTGAACTTGAGGAATCGCTACTATTTAACGAGGAATGAGAGTGCTCGCCTTGGTGAGTGCGGACGTGTTGGTTCAGGATGGCTTTCTGCCGAAACGCCTTGCCGCAGTCTCCGCACCCGTACGGTTTCTCACCCGAATGAATTCGTAGATGTTGGTTGAGAATAGCCCGCTGTCTGAAAGTTCGTTCACAGTAGACACAAACAAATGGTTTTTCATTGGCATGTATACGCACATGTTGCGTAAGGTGCGACTGTTGACGAAATCGTTTACCGCAATCACTGCACACAAATGGTCTGGAGTCGGTATGTATGCGCTCGTGTTGCATGAGTGTAGCCTTTTGTTTAAAGTCTTTACCACACGAAAGACATTTGAATAACCGTAGGTCAGAACCTTTTTTCCCAGATGCTTCTTGTTGTTGATGTATAAGATCTGGCATATTAGGAAAATCGCCAGATGCTTCAGCTGGATTTAAAGGAGTTAACATAACACCAGGTTGTTTCAAATAGGACATGAAACTCGACGGACTCAGCATATGTGGAGGGCCTCCTCTTACACCAGAATAATAATTGGATGGGTCTCCCGGACCATACTGTCCTGGTTGGGTACGATCCGATTCAACGGCATTATCTTCTGGTGGTGTTTCGTCTTCACCACCATTTCCAGAACCTATTCGAGACACATTTAGAGACAGTCAGATCTATATTATGGAAAAATTAAAATACAAATACCTTGAATTGAATGGTTGGTGTTTGGATAAGGTGATGGTAAAGGCGAAGTAATCGTCGATTGAGACGTCTGTTCAGTAGATTGTTCTGCTGGTTCATGTTGTTGAGTCGGTACAAGAGCTGGGTAACCGTTTTGTGAAGGCCCCGGTCCCCATTGGCCATTACTGCCATTTGGTCCTTGTTGGTGGTGGCCATCTTTGTTGTATATGACATATGGGGCACCATTCTCTGTAAAAACAATACCAATAATCAAAATTGTGCGCGCGTACTTACTAATATTAACAGTTTATTCAATTAGTTACGCTAAACCGTCCCACTCAAATGTACCTTCATCAGGTTTGGGTGTTTCCTGTGTATTGATGATCATTGGTCTTATACATTAAATTTAGAAAGTGATATAGTAGGTAATCGTCCAGCCTACAAGTTAATTAGATTAGTATAAATAATAATAAATAAATAAAACAAAAAAAAAAAAAAAAAAAAAAACAAAACAAAAATGTGCCAGCGAAAAAAAAATATACTAAATAACTGATAAAAAGCACATTTTTTTATCACAATAAATTGGATTTTTCCTTTTTTTTTTTGTTCTACGTATTAATGGATGCAATGTTGCCGAGTTGCCGTTTAAACATATGGAAAGAACAATAATATCTTAGATGGCAGCACTTGCCGATGACAACACCTCCGGCCATTGTAATGAGAAGTAGGCGGTCGGTCTGTTGAGTGGAGGGGTAGTATACTGTAAACATGTCTAAGGTACCTATCATAGTATCATAGTAATATACAGAGTGATCAATTTATCGTAAGATACTCGTTATCTCGGAAAGTATTAACTTTTTCCGGAATTTGTTTTTTTATAATATTTAAGAAACTAACTGTTCTACAATTTATATTTGTGTTATTTTTTGGGTGTAAAACCACTACCTACTTTTGATTTTCAAATGGTAACCTACATTAAAAATTCCATAAATAAAAGAAATATTAGTTAAAATAAATTTTTGTGTTGAAATTTTTGATTTCCGTCAATCCGTTGACGAGATATTCCATTTTTAAGATTGTGTTGGGGGAGAGTGGTTGGTGCATTATTAACACGCCATACCGCCACACAAATGATACTAAACATTAAAATATATTTTAAATAATACTTTAATAATCTATTTATGAAATGTTTAATATAGTTTGCCATTTGAAAATCAAAAGTAGGTAGTGGTTTTACTCCCAAAAATAACATAAATATAAATTGTAAAACAGTTTATTTCTTAAATATTCTAGAAAACAAATTCCGGAAAAAGTTAATACTTTCCGGGATAACGAGTATCTTAAGATAGATTGATCACCCATAGTATAGTATCACCACCAAATTTTGTTTAATATTTATATTCTATTATTCCTAATACACAATACATATAATATTGTCCAATTTCTGATTTCAGTAAAACTGTAGTTACCAGTAGGTCATTAATATGCACTCAAAATACTTGGATCCAATTAAACATACAAGTATTTTCTTTACTCAATTAAAATTGTGCCCATAAAAATACAATTTTATTTTAGTTACCCATCTACGTTTTTAATCAACAATAAATACATTTTAATTAAAACTAATCAAATAAAAAAGAAAACTTAATACGGACATGTTTTAGCTTTTAAATAAAACTAAAATTGTTAATTGTATGTAAAGTATAAATATATATACATGTGTCCCATGAAGATATACCCATTGCAATATATCCTGAAATAATAAAGGTAATCAAATTCTGTTTTTTTTTTAAATTTTATTATTTATAAAAATTTGAAAATAGAATTTGATTATCTTTATTATTTCTGGAGATATTATAATGGGTATATTATAGGACACATATATATAAAACTACAATTGAATATCAAATCTGTAATTTAATAGTTTAAAAATTGTACAAATACAATTACAATTACTTCAATAAACATTATGTTAAAAAAAAAAAAAAATTTAAAGTAAAGAACTAAATCACTAGCAATTTCAGTAAAAATAGAAGAAAGTAAATACCCAGTATTTATATTTTGTACCTTGTTCAGATATACAAAACTTGTGCATATTAATATATTTCATACAAATATTGTAACATTTAAATAAAATCAAATCATAAAAAATAATATGTTTATTTATTTGTATACCGTTAAGTTGAATACAATTTTAAAAATATAGTATAATAGGTAATCAAAAATCTAAATTTTTTATACTGATTAAATTGAAGGTAAGCTTTCTAATTTTCTACTCTTAATTTACCTAAAATTTTGAGTCTTGATCTTTGGAAATATATTTATATAATATACATAAATATTATACAATTTTATGTTTTGTTTTATTTTGTTTATTTGTGGTTTATACAAACTGGTAATAATTATATGATCATTTGTAAATTAATATTAGTTATTATTTGGATTTGAAGACTATTGACTGGATTATGCAACTATTTAGGGTTAAAACTTGAAAAAAAAAAACACCCCAAAAAATAGGTAAGAAATTAAAAATACTTAATGTAATTCTGATTGGTGCACAAATAAATTTATTAAACTAATATTCTGAACCAAAAGCCACAAAGTTATTAGTTTTGTTAAATATTTAGTTACTTAAATAAGTATACCAGTGTTGGCCTGGCCATAGCTGGGAATGTGGTCTGGGCTTCTAGACTTATTATGTCTAGGCAGGCTGTCTGGGGGCGCCTCAGGGCCAAGAATTAATTTCAAGATTCTTAATTGAACTATACTGACTGTCTTTTGTGCAAAGATTAAATACAATAAATAAGCATAATATATATTATGCATTATTAATAATTGTGTGAGTAAATTTATTCGAAAATTACTGAAAACTGAAATCTAGCTAATAATATCTTTTTTGAGTAGGTGTATCATAATATATATATATATATATTTTGCAGTGAAATCTACTGTAATTTTTAGAAATATTATCAAAATTACACTGTAATATTACATAAATTTGTATTAATTATGGAAGTTTTTATTAACTATTTTTAACTAAAATTTTGATTTCAAATCTCAATGAAAATTAAAATAACATGCATAGGTATAAACAAACAGTAGGTATCAAATAAAATATTTATTGGAAGGATTATTAATCGAAAAAGAATTCATTTAATTTTGGTCTAGTTAGTTTACTAACTTAATTTACATAAGTGATATAAAATCTTTAGTTCCATTTATTGAGCAAATAAACCCAAACTATCAAAATCAATAAAACATCACATAATATAATCAATATGAGATATGTATGTTATATACGGTGTATAAATTATTATATTGATAGCATACAGTGAGAAATCATTAATCAATAGTTTGTACACTGATTTTCGTTTAGTGATTTACCCTCTGGCATTATGTATAATTATATGTGAAATTGTTAAATCTTTTTAATACAAAACTATAAATAATGTACACCTGTAAGATGATAATTTTACAATTTTCCAAGACTCAAAATCTATGTGACACTAATCAGTAAAGTGTCTAGCCACTAAGTCTTTCTAATAAGTTCAATTATTTAAAATGTATAAAAAAAAATAGATACATAAGTGGATTACTTAAGCATCATACATATTAATTTAAATAACAAAACACTTTTAAATAGTGTTTAAAAAAAAACTACATAATTAGTAATTTGTATGATTTAGGTACCTACTTACGGTTTAATATTATAAATATGTAATGTGGATGTAATATTTGTTATCTAATTCATTTTTTTAAATTAAAAAATATGCGAGTTGTTGAAATTATAACTACATAACTGTTATATTTTATCATAAAATTAGTTAACTTTAAATTTACCTTGGGCAATGCAATACATAAAATTTCGAGGAACTTTGAGGCCTGCTGCCAGACATGCTGCAAATGATGCTGAGAAATTGATTGCCATAATAACCCCTTCATCACTTCCTATAAATATAATAGAAACACAAAAATTTAAATGTTTAATGAAGAAGAAAAGCATAGATTATAATAAAGAAATACCAATACCAAATTTAACTATATTAATGTTAATAAAGTACCAATATTTCTAATAAGAAATAATAATACACTGATTGAGTAGGTACCTATTTAATTTAATTAGTTTAAAAAAATGAGTTTATCTTATGTTTCTAGAAAGGAATAATTACCTACATAAGCTTAATTATAAATTAGTGTTACTAGATATCTAATTAAAGGAAACACGATAATTCGAAATAGAAGAAATAAAACTGAAAATTTGATTTGTAGAGGTTTTTGATATAGCGAGAATTATCCAGGGGACCAGAGAATTGAAATACATATACCTATAGTATTCAATTTACTTTACATATATTATGATGTACTGTAGATATACATATTTAGAATAAATCATTTCAAAAATCAGTTATTTTCGTTTGTTATACATTTTTGGCAATAGTGTTATAAGACGGCCATGAAAATGGCATTCCACTTTTCTTCATACATTTCTGATTGATTTGCACAATTCTACCACAAAAGATCTACCTTCTCTTCCTCATCATCATGATATAATAAATGAATAATTATAAATTAGAATTATAGAGGCCCTGATCAAAAATATTCAAACTTTAGAGTGTCTCCCTATTGTTCCACACCTCATTATTTTTGATTTATATAAGGTACTCTTATATAAATATTTATAAGTATATAAGATACTCTTGTATTCTCCCAGGCATCTTTTTAGTTGTTGACGAATTTCCAGAACATTAAATAGATAGTATAAATAGTATAAGTTTAAATACCTATCTGAAATGTTGGTCGAATGTTAGCCCTAATCACTATTATTAAAAAAGAGTTGATACTAATGGTGATTGTTGTAGGTGAGAAGTTAGTAAATTAGAATACAAAGTTATTTAAAGTATATCTGTATCTATGCAAAGATAACTCATTGCTAACGAAAAACGATTCTGAACAATGTTCTGTTAAACTAGGATTTCTAGATTTTCATCATAACTTAAAAAGAAAATGAATATAAAAAAAAAACTACAATTCACTCAACTTTTTTTTTTTTTTACCATTAAACACAATTTATAATGAACTATGTTTAATATTTACAAACATTAATTCTTCTCAGTAAAACTAATTTTATCCACACTAAACAAAATTAAAATTTAAGGAACTTTTTTTCTTTTTTCAATTAACCGATAGCAGTGGGGGACTAGTTTTTCACATTGCTACCCCACTAAATTTAAGAAAATTAAAAATATCTAATGGCAAGTAATTAAAAAAAATTGGTGAACATTTTTAGACAGTTATAGTTTGAACTGAATTACAGAAAAAAAAAAACGTAACAAAATCGAAAATAATGAAACTGTTAATGCTTTAAACTTTCCCAATTTTTCAATTAATAAACTACACAGAAAATTAAAAACTAACCTTTATATGCACTAACTAGGTAATCAAAATTTTTTTTCAGAAAGGAAACCACTCTTTAAATTTGGAACATGATTTCTGGCAGAAAAAACAAAATAATGAAACTGTTAAGGTTGTCAATTTGTCTGGTTTTACTCTAATAATATGAAAATCATTAAGAAAATCAAAAAATTACCTTCATTAGCAGTAACTAGACCCAAAACACTACACATAATTTCTAGTAATTTTTTGATTGGAGTAAAATTTCTAGTATAAAAGTTATGTACAGATAGAAAAAAAAATTTCACATATTATTATAAAACTAATACATTCTTGCCACATTCAAAATCTAAATTAGATGGATTTTGATTATTTTATGACGAAAAACTAAATGTACAGATAACGCGTTATTAATACTTCCATTAAGATGTGTGATTACGTCAATTTGAAACATAACATTTTTATTTTTCAATCAATTTTCTCGTGGTACAGTTTTTACTGTTGACAATATACATGTATTCAAATTGGATGGGACATAACTCAATTTTTTAATGGCATACCTACTACTTTATTTAATTAAAATTTAGTTGGTCTCTAGACTTTTTTTGTGAAAAAAATGTTAAATTACTTACGCATTGAAAAATGTTTTATAGAACATTTTGTTCATATATTGACTTTATAGATAGAGAAACCGCCATTAAATTTTTAATTTTCCTTATTTTAAACATTTTTCTAAGAGATTAAATTATAATTTTATTTTAATTTTAAATACCAGTTATGTAACTAATTAATTAGTATAATAATTAGTGTTTTTCTGTTTAAAAAATGGATGTTAGGTATTAATCCTTGTGATAGTAGCAACGTATTTTATGATAACCTTATGAAAATCACCATCCTTCAGAGTCTTTAGTTTTACAAACATATATTACAAAAATAGCTAGCTATTTTTCTGACACATATCGTTTAACCAAAAATATTGTAATTCAAAATGGTTTTCCAAATAAAATTCAACTACCTACCTAATCAATGATATAAATATCTACTTATTATTAATTAATTACAATAATTTGTCATTTTATCAGCCTTGATTTAATTAGGTAGGTACCTACTAAAAACATTAGTTATTTAATTATTTCTATAACAAGCAATTTCAGATTTTCAAACAATATTTAATCACTTTAATATGCAGTATGAACCCTACTCATAAAAAATTTATCGGTATACCCACTTGACAAAATATATTTATGATGCACAGCACACAAAAACATTAGGATTATGAACTTAACAGATTATGGCTTATAATAGAATAGGTAATTATATTGCTCCTAGTGGCTTTAGTAAATGGAATAGCGTAGTGCGTACATTATTAGGTATTAATCTTAATGAAAAAAGCATTGTGTTAAAATCATATAGATAAGAAACAAAAATAAATATAACACTGTTGATTATATTATAAAATCAATGGTAATACATATCATATACATACATATATTAATGTAAATTAAAACTATCATTGATAATTAACTTAAACTGAGAAAAATTTCATTTATCATCGTTTAAATATTTATAATATACGAGTACCTATCTATCTAGCCAGAACTCAATTGGTGCTTACACAAAAATTGTCATATTTTAGTATCTTTTGAATGAGTAACTAGTATGCAGTTACCTACATCGTTAATTTTTCATTCTTCATTGGAGAACATGTTATTATATAAGAAAATATGAATGTTCAAATTATTATAAGTACTAAAATAAGCACCTATATTTTGAGTAACTTTTTAGTTTTAAAACATTTTTAATTCTAACAATTTATTTAAGACGTCCACTTCATGTTTAGTGTTAACAAATAATTTGAAATTTATAATACATTACTTTCTTTAACCCATTAATAAACACATTTTTTTTGATGACATGATAGTATTATAATCACAATACAAGAAATTCCAACTTAATATATGTCTAAAAAAAAGTTACCATAGGGTAACACACACTGTTAATGGATTAATAATTAAAAACAATTTAATTGAATCAGATAATAATAAAAATGTTATTTGTAGATAGTACGAGGACATATTATATAATATGTGAGTAGGAAATTAATATAAATACAAAATATAATGTTTTGTTTAAACATTTAATACTTTTAAAGAAAAATTAATATTGGACTCAATATTAAATGTATACCACCTTAATAAAGTGGTATAACTATAATTATTTATTTACTCATTTTGTATTAAATTCAACAAAAAATTAGATTAAAGATAAATATAATAAAGATTTTATTATAGAAAATTAAATTTCTCGTTTATTTATTAATATATAGGTACATATCTAAGACAAAAAAAATCACATCTAAACCAATAAAAAAAAAAAAAAAAATGATTAATAAATAAATAGGTAAACATTATTAATAACTTTTTAACAGAACTGTTAAATGAATAGTCGAACTTAACATTAATTTTATTTGCAAATATTAATAAAGTAATAAATAAGGTAAATAGATCAGATCCATACATTATAAATATTAGAATTAAGCTTTAAAATCCTTAATTACTTTTGGACTTCTAATTTTGTGATAACAATTATTAAGTACTTAATTAATTTGAAAATAATTTTCACTTTTATCACAGAGTTATAAAATACAATAATGCTATGCAACTAGGTAAAAATAATTGTAGAAAAATATTGGAGCAATTAATGATTAAATATTTCTTACAATACTTGACGATGCTTTTCAAAATATTTCTTCTTCATTTGAATAAAAAAATAAAGAAAACACAAATTCTTATAATAAATTAAATAAAAACATCATAACTAATTAAACATTAGGAGTACTACATGATCTGTTTGATTGTCTACCGACCAATCGTTTAATTCTTTCTTTTCTTGTGCGGTAAAGTTTTGAATTTTCATATCTTCTCTGTCCAATAGTAGTTCTAGATGGTGTTTGTGTTTCAACAGAATAGCACGTCGTAAGAAATTTAGAACTTAATTTCCATACTTCCATTTCATCTTGTTGTTGTTTTACAGCTGCCATTCCTCTATCAAGCAAAAGATTAACCACTGTAGAAGCATTTGGTCTATTAGTAGGATTTAAATCAATCATTTTTTTAAGCATTTTTTCAAGACCTGTACTAAAAACAGGAGTTTTAGGTAATGAAAAATCTCCATCTCTTAAACGATGCCATTCTGGCCCATTTTTTGGTAAATCTTTTTTAGTCGCTGCTTCATATGCAGTTAGTGCAGTTGAAAATACATCAGCTTTTTGTAGTTGAGAATAATCATCACGTAACAGTTCTTTAGGTAAATACCGACAATCTCCATCTTCAATGGTCCGAACATCTTCAACACATACTGTGTGGCCAAAATCTCCAATTTTGTACACAATGTCTTTGTCAATTATTTCAATTTCATCATCGTCAATATCTTCAGGAAATAATGCATTGTTAGTACGAAATATTAATATATTGGCAGCTTTGATATCTAAATGTGCAAGCTTTTTAGAATGCATATAGGCAAGACCTCTGCATACATGGCACAAGAAACGCCTTAAAGCACTATCACAAAACATATGATCAGATTCATGTATCATACGTTCAAGAGTACCACCATTACAAAATTCGGTTTGGATGTAAATATGGCCTCTTTCGTGCCACGCTGTAAAATATGAAACTATATTGGGGTGTCGTCCAATTACAGAGTGTGCATATACTTCTTTGCGAATAAAATACTCTTGGCTTTTATAAATGGATTTTTTGGTTTTTTTAATAGCATATGTAATTCCATCAAATAAATTTGTGCATTTGTATACTTCACCGAAACCACCAGTTGCAATAAAATCATCCATTCTAAACTCCTCACTAAAACGAGACGTCTGCAAATCATATATACTGACGTTGGTCACTTCACCTTCATTCATTAGATCTCTGATGGATGGATCAATTGAAGAAGAGGACGATTTATGGCCAGGAGGAGTACACAAACTATTGTTAATGTCACGGCTGTGTTCTTCACTACTACTGAAACTATTGCATTGAACAGGACACGGTTTCTTGCGGTGTTTATTTTTTAATATCTCAATACCAGTCGGTGTGAAAGGATTGATTGACAAACGCATCTTGTTGGCTCGTTCTCTTTCTGGGTCGCTCATTGGCGACTGTGGCCTAAGACGCACCTTATGCTGGGACCGTATATTAAGAAATGGTGTTGAAGAGTCGACACCAATCTCGGGTGAAAACGACGGAGGACAGTCGGGTGGTGATGGTGGGCAAGCCGTAATTGCCGGTACTACCTTATCAGCTTCGAAGCTGAGTCTCCTCATTTTCTGTACAAAATATGATTCATCATCGCATTCCATCTTGATTTTATCGTCATTGGGTTCCATCGCGCAAAGGACTGTCGGCAAATATCACAGGCGACACGCGCCTTATATATATATATGTATATAGGAATATGTGTAATTACAAGAAAAAAATAGTTTTCAAAACTAAATAACAAAAATATTGAAAACAAACACTTACTAAACAATCAAGAAAAAAAAAAAACTGTGATAAAAAGTAAATTCACGCGCTCATCACATCACCAGCGCGGTATCGTCTGTAGTTGTCCGGCGATCACGGTGACGCAGCTGCTATGGGTTGCGAGGGAAAAACGGCGCGCGCGCAGTGTTGCCGTGTACAGATGGCGCGTTAACACTGCATATGGGAATTTAAAAAAATATAAACCAAAAAAAATTTTTTAAATTTTAATATGCGCTAACTTAGACTGTAGGATGGAAACGTACTGCATATGTTTAATAATTACCGTGTATTAAAAGTGTGTCTGGTAATCCTATGCAAATCAGGAACCATCATGACTTATGATGTTTTTTATACAGATACATACACCCGCGTACCGCTGACGAAGGATAACAATTTTTGTTTTCTAGTAAAAACAACCTTGAATTTATTTTGTTATTTACATCCGTGTGAAATCGCAAAAAACCGAATGAAAAATCAAAGAAAAAAAAAATTTTAAAAACAAAAAGATTATAACGGCGGTAATATCGGAAAATTATTTCGGTTATCCAACAACAACAATAATAATATCACAATTACACTCGTGATGAACGGCACCGTAAACACCGGCTGCGGCGGCGGCGGCTACAATACACACGGGGGAGACGACGGTGCGTGTACGACTGGCCGACGGCGTACATAATAAACGTCGGCGGGGAAGAGGGGGGCGGGGCGGCAAGGGGGCGGCGGTAAAAAAAACCCGGAGCGCGCGCGCGCGCCGCGCGCTCGCAATAGAACCGGAATGAGTGGCGGAGGCGGCGTCGGGCGGCAAAGACGGGACGGTAAAAAAAAAAATGTATAATAAAATACCAGCGCGCCGTGCGAGACGACGAGACGGTCGTACGGCGCGCGCTAGAGGGAGCAATGCCGCGCCGCCGCTGCCGAACAACCCGGCGGCGTTGCCAAATGTACGTCCCAGACGAACCCTGTGTGCGTCTGCGGTACGTGTGTGTGCGTGTGTTAACGCGCGCGCGCGGAGTGTGTGTACGTGCGTGTGTGTGTACGCGCGTTTTTGTCCGTGTATGTGTGTGTGTGTGTGTGTGTCGAGAACGTTGCTTAAAAAAAAGCGTCCTACACTACTCTCTCTCGCCGTCGCGCGGTCCTTGGTACCGGAGCGGAGCAGCAGCAGGCTATCCGACAATCAATATTTTAGCAACCCGAACTACGTTGGGAGGAATATATAAAAAAAAAAAATAATAATAATAATAATAATAACGCAGACAATGAAAAATAAAAAAAAAAAACGGTCCAAAAAATATTCTCTTTTTTTTTTTACCGCGCCGCTGTCGTTATTTAAACGGCTTTTTTTTTGGACAATGTTTTATTTTTTTTTATTTTCCAACCGAGTTTTTCGGGTTATTTCCAAAACAACGCATGTATATAATAAACAAAAAATAAAAAAAACCCTACACAAACTTATACAAATATCAGAATAATTCTAAACCGGATTAACAATAAAATTGGCCAACACCGTGTATAGTAATATTTAATATTTATTTGTCTGTTTATATGCCAGAGGGTTAGAATATTTATTTGTTAACAAAAATTACGCGGTATTATATTACTGAAGATGGCGGTTGGGAGTGGGCGGAGGAGGGTGCACAACTTCAAACCGTTTTTATAAGTACACCGCCGAACTGTCAAACCGTTTTAAAGTTTGCCTTTATATAATTATATTTTACGTTCCGCGTTAAATTTTAAACAAAATAATATAATATAGACACTTTAACTGGTTTACTTTAAGTATAATTTAGATAAGTTTCAAGTAGTTAGATAGTTGGTAGGTATAGATAATATTATAATTATAATACATAGTTTTATGACAAGTTTTCACCAAAAACGTCTTTGAAAATCTCTCCAATAAGAACCGGAATTTAACCGAAAAACATTATTTATTCAACTATATACCTACTTATGATTTGTAAACTTACAAACTTAAAACTCATGAATTGTTAACAATTTGTATATTATACTTGATTAACGATAACAATGAGATTATATTAATTCGTTTTTACCAAGTACGTACCATAATATTCCAATTAATTTTAGAATTTATGAGGAAAAGATTAAATATCTATGTTCTAAAATGTATATGAATAAATGCAAATTATGGCTCCTATTTGCATCTACCTATTAGATATGTGTGCATATATATATATGGGCACCCGGAGGGGGGGGGCAAGATGTTAAATTCTTTCCCTCCTGGACTTTAAAATTTCAAGCATAATTTTAAGAATTAAACAATATAATTTCATTTTAAGTACTTTTTGGTGTTTGATTTTATTATACCCCTTTCTGATAAATTTCCGACGTGCGCCCATGTATACATAGCCGTTTTTTGAGTAGATTCATATATATAAAAGTATTAAAAAATGAAATACTATACTTACACGTAACGATATTCATAATATGTTGTCGTGAATTTCTCTTATGGGTCAAAAACCGTAAAAATGTTCGACCCCGCCAAAAGTTGTGTGTACTTTTTTTGTACACTTATATAAGTACCTATGTGCCTAACCTATATATATATATATATATATATATTAAAAATATAATATATATGTACCTATTTAAAAACTAAAATTCTGAGTGAAGTTCGATTAAATTTGTTTTGGAATATCGTGATTTTCGTCGAAATTTGAACTTGAAAAACTTTTTAAAAACTTCTATATTATGCTCAACTTTCCCCCCCCCTCCGTAAGTATCTACAACTTATGATGAACCTCGTGTAAAATGTTCAGGTATTTCTTCTCGATGAAAACAATTTTATCCACACAAAACAAAAAACAAAAAATACTCATTTTTAAGAAAATTTCAAGTGCCTATAGGTGCTCAACAATCGCCAGAATGTGTTGAATATTTTACTATGTTTAGAAAAGGTTTTAATGGTTTTTTTCAAACTAATTTCGATAAAATTAACTATAATAAAATCATTATTGCCGTAAACTTTCTTATTTATTTTACGTTTTTTCTCGAGTTGCCAATTGTTAAGAAGGAAACGATAGGGAAAATAAAAAAACTACTTTCCAGATGCACCAAGATAACAATTTTTTTCAGAGAAGATTTATGGTAGACAAATTGTTTACAAACGCAAAATTAAAAAACTAAAAAAAAAAAGCACAATATCATAAAACCATTACATTTTTTATTGAGCTCAATATTTAATTTTGTACATAAAATATACCCAATCAGCTTTTAGCATTTTATGATTCAAATAGATCACCCTGCAGTAGATATAGATACGATTTTAAATCATAGGGGTAGGTAACCTATACAATGATCTATTATAAGTACGAATATATAAATAATTTACAGGGATTATATGATATTTATATTGGTAACAATAGACGTTACATGTTTTAACATTAACGATCAGAAGAAATTAAATTTTTCGTAAATTTTATGACTATTAATTCTTAAATATTTATTTTGGAAAAATATATTAATTAAATCGCCGTAGATAGATACCATAAAATACAAATTTGCAAGCTCGATTGACCATTTTTATGGAATGGTTTCAGTTACCACTTCAAAGGGCGCCTAATTCAGTAGCGTAATTGTGGTGCAACTTAAGGGGCATCTACTATCCACTTACCTCTCCTATGAGTACACAACCTCTAAAATTTGTTTCGTGTAAGCAAAATAACATAATATAATTTAAATTATAATATAATATATAATATAATTTATATATATTATAAATTGTAAATCTTTACAATTTGTCTTTGTTTATACGTTTTAATTTATATTTTTCTAAATAATTATATGAAGTTATGAGCTATAATTGGACATAACTCGGGACTTCTAAAGGCACGGGGGTTTTGTGCACGTGTATAGCTTGTACCACCTTTAAGCCTCGACTTTTTGGTTAACATTGTTCTAGGTGAGCAGTTAGGTTAAGTTTATATACTGTATATAGTGTTTTTTTTCTTTGTAGCCAAGGTGACACAGATATTAACAAAATAAAACCAATATGTATCGTAATTTGCTGTAGTTTTTTTAAATCTAATAGAAAAAGCGTTGGAAATTTAGAAAATTATTCAATTAAACCAAGTGAAAATCCGAATATTTTATTTTGATTTGAAAAATGTAGAGCTTTCTTACTAACCAACAATGTTTTATTTGAAAAAAAAAAATGGATTTTGGTGTGATTTATTGAAAATTTAGGTACCTAACCGAATATTTGGTACCTAATAATAATTTTTTATTCACAATTATTTATTATCATTTCAATTTTAATCCCAATAACAATAATACATTTTTAAATGTTATATGTATTAAAATAAATAATAATAACACAGAATATATAAGTTACTTTATTAGTTTATTTAGCTTATTGGTATTCTTTCAGTATTTTGCATTGAGATAAATGATAAATAAGATATGTTTTAAAAAATCTTCTTATAAAACACTTATTAGGGTGTTATCCATAATTTAATGTTTAAATACCTACATAAAATTCAAATACAATCAATTAAACATTTAAATTGTAACCATACATTTTCAAATTAAACAGTTCATGATATTTAGAAAAATTAGCGTTTAATTTGATTCAATTTAATAGTTAATTATACTATTAACACAATATTATAATTATTAGTCACACATAATATACCTACCTACTGCACTATTTATAATTTTTATGGATAGATATGTAACCGTACCCACATTTCAATAGATAAACGTCTATTAAAATAATGGTATGCAACTATTTAGGTAGGTATTAAATATATATGCTCTTAGAAAATGCTTTATTATTCAAACATTTTAATTTGAAAAATTAGGATCTTTTTAAAGCTTATACCTCCTCCTACTATAATATATCCGTATCTAAAAATTTGTAAACGTATTTAAAAGTACATTGTATTAGATTATAATCTATATACTTATAATTTAATGTTATATAATAATAACCAATAATAATGACTTACCGTATTATCATAATTGACATGTTGAAAAACGTTTTGATATTACTGCCCTTAAAAGTTACTTAAAACAATGTCTAATATCAATTGAATAACTTAAAATAAACATATGATATTA